TGCATTATGATTTCCAAAGTATTTAAGGCTTCTTTGGAGGTATGACTGCCAAAAGGTAAACGCAAACCACGACCAATTATTTGTTCGATAAAAGTAGCCGATTTAAAAGCCCGCAAGGGAACAATAACATAAACATTTTTGACATCCCAACCCTCTTTTAACATGCCAACCGCAATAATAATTCGAGTGGGGTTTTGGGAATTATCAATATTTTGTAATTCTTGGGCTAAATCATCGGTAATTTTGCTACTGTCAACTTGGAGAATATTTTCAGAGGGAAATTGACAATTAACTATTAAACTACTCTTAATGTTTTCGGCTTCCTCAATACTGGGAGCAATTGTTAACATTAAGGCTTTTTGAGAATTCAAATTGTTTTGTTGGGTATAACTGTCTAAAAGTGTTTGCTTAGCTTCTAATAATTTTATCGCATCTTTTAATTTAGTTTCTTCCTCCTGATATCCGTCATAGCGACCAACCATAACCGGAATTTTAATTAATTTATCCCGCAAGGCTTTCCATAAAGGATATTCAAAAATAATTTCTTGTGGGGGAGTTTTTTCATGCGGAGTTCCAGTTAGTCCAATTAAAATTTTAGGTTTCAGTTCCCGAATGGCTTCGGAAAACTTTTCCCCATAGTATAAATGGTGTTCGTCGGCAAAAATAACCAAGTCATCTAGTTTACTTAAATGTTCCCGTAAAGATTGACCCAATACTTCATCATAATTACTAGTTTTGCGAGCCGTTTTGCCTTTGGCTTGGGTTAGAGATTGAACGGTAAAAATAAATAATTTAGCGGAATTTTTATCAGTAGTTTTGGCCGTGTGAAAATTTTTGATATCGATAATATGGGGAGGTTTAATGGTTAGTTTATCCGCCAAAGAATTAGGTTTATTGAGTGAAAAATTGTTAATGGTCTTTTCTCGAATGATTTTTCCTGGGGCAACAATGAGAAAATTAGTTAACTTTTCGCTTTCGGCTAAATAGTTTAGAATAGCGACAATTATATAAGTTTTTCCTACTCCGGTAGCTACCGAGAGAATATATTCAGACAATTTACTAAAATTGTCGAGCCTTCGGTCAGATAATTTTTCCGGATTATTTTCGGAATTATAATAATGGTTTAAAAATGCTTGAACTGCTTCTTGGTTGGGTAGACGGAGTTCTAGTTTTTTGGAAATATTGTCGAGGATGGTTCAGTTAATCATTATTTTTTTACTAATTTAGCTTCTTCCTCAATTTTTTTTAGCAATCTTCTCTTCTCTTTTATAATTCCTTCCCCTTTTTTATTCTTTAAGCTATTTTCTCAATTTCCTAACATTTCATTTATAGTTAGTTCATTAATTTTTTCATTTTTATCTTGGCGAGCTCCCCAACGACCTTTAACCTCTACAATTGCTTCTTGTTGTTGATTCTCATCACTAATGTCATGTTCCTCTCATGGAACTCCCTTTTTTCACAATTGGCTTCTTAGATTACTAATTTCTATTTCTAGTTTACGTTCTTTTTCTCATAAACTATTTATTAACTTATCGCTTTTTTCCGTTTCCTCTTTGAGCCTTTTATAGCAATTTTCACTTCTTTCTCTTTCCTTATAATAAAGAGAGTTCAATCCTTTAGCGTTTTCTTCTATCACTTTCTTCTCTAAATCCTTTCTTGCTATTATTTCTTCTTCAAGCCTTTTCTCTATTTTTTTAGTTTCTTTTTTTGACTTGTAGAAGAGCCATATCGGAACGCAACCCACTATTAATACTATTCCCCAATCTATTGCTTTGGTTATTCACTCTGTTTTTTCCATTTTAAATTAATTTTATTTGAAGAATTTATTTATTAATTAAAAAGAGAAAGAATTTTAGAAGAAAATAAATAAATAAAAGGACTATAATCGAACAAAAAGAAAGAAAAACAATTCTTCGCTTCCAAACTCTACAATAACAGTTTTTATTTTTTTTAGAGCAATAAGTTTTATGTTCTTTTGAAAAGAAATAAGAATGAGCCTCTGACATTTTTTGTCACAGTTTTAATATACTAAAAAAAGCCCAAGAAAACAAGGCAATTAAAAGTCCGGTAAGAGAAAGTTTAAGGCTAGTTAAAAAAGGATATTCAAATCCAAACTTTAAAAAAATAGAGAATGCCAAAATGAGAAAAGTAAAGAATAATCGCTGTGGAAGAAACTCCTTTTCCGTATCCCAAATTTTCGTAACTCAACTTGCTCTCTTTGTTGCTTTTGTGTTTTCTTGCCTTTTTTTCAATTCTTCTCTATGAGTATTTTTTGAACAACTTTTTTTCGGTTTCTCGAACTTTTTAAAATAAGGAAGTAATATTGTAATAATAATTCCCACCACTGATATTATTCAACCTATAATATCTTTTCCTTCAATGTTTCATTCCATAGTATAACAAATTTTCCGTTTTAAATCCTCGCATAATGCCTTAAAATATTATTCGGCACCTTACCAATTTTTATATTATTAAATTTTTTATCCTCTAAATCGGGGTCAACCGCCAAAGCCGCTACTTCCAAAAACTTTTCCTTATCCATGGAATTCAGCAAGAAATTAAGTAATCCCTCGGTCAACATGCCATCCACTACCGCTAACAAAACATCCCCTTTTTTGCCGCAAAAATGCTCGTTTTCCGGCTGATAATCATATTCTAACTGGGTCGCTACCAGTTTCGCCAACTTACCATTTAAAGCATGCTCGGCAATACAAATTATTCCGGAATGAGTATCAAACATAGACCTTTCAACTTGAAAATAACTAAATCCACCGCCACCGGTTCAATTCGCTTCCTCACTAATCCCACCTTTATCCTCGCCGCTAACAACTTTTTTTAATCGCGGAACAGTAAAAGTATTAACCGTATCCTCATTTTTTTCCGTAATAACTCACTTTCTCCTTAATTTTTGAGCCACCGCCGCGGTAGTCCCCGAACCAGCAAAATAATCAAGCACAATATCGCCCTCATTCGTGGCAATTTGGATAATTCGGTGAAGTAGCCTTTCGGGTTTTGGTGTAGCAAATGGCTCAATTTCGGGAAATAGTTTTTTAATTTCTTCTCGTGCTTCCGCATTGTGTCCCACTTCCTCATATTTTCATAAAGTTTGGGGAACTAAATCTTTAACTCGTGATAAGAACTTTTTTTGTCTAGGGACGCCTCCTTTGTCGTCCTTACCCCATCAAATTTGGTTGTCTTCAACTAATTCTTTAAAACGGGTTTCGGACATACGCCATGAACTTCCTTTTGGGGGATAAACTATTTTTCCAGACGGAGTGATAATTGGGTATACATAACTTAAAGACATTGTTTTTGCTGTTATAGGAAGCGACATTCAAGATCCGCGTGGGTCATTATCGGGGTTTGTATAGTTCTTATCTGACTTTTCTGTTCTAGTTAAACGATTAACCTTAAACTTTTCATTATCTTTCGCATAAACTAAAATATAATCTTGGTCGGTGCTAAAAAACTTCGCGTCGTTCCGTGGAGAATAAACCTTTTGCCATACAATACTACATACAAAATTTTCTTTTCCAAAAATTTCATCCAAAACCAGTTTAAAATGATATAATTCGGTATCATCTAAATGAACTCATAAAGAACCATCATCACTTAATAATTCATAGGCTTTTAACACTCTATCTCGCATCATAGTTAACCACACTGAATGCTCTAATTGGTCGTCATAATTAGCAAACATTTGTCCGGTATTAAAAGGTGGGTCAATATAAATTAACTTAACTTTATTGACATACTTTTTTTGATATTCCGGAATTTTGGTTAAACTAGTTAAAGCATTTAAACTATCTCCGCAAATTATTAGGTTATCCGCTGAATTTTCGCCAAATTTCTCCATTTCTTTAAATAATCGGACTTCGGAAACTCGGTAATCATTAGGGTTTACTCATTCGTATTTAACTTTTTCATAATCGCTAACGATTAGAGTTTTATTTTTGTTAACTCAATTTAGTTCTAATTTGCCGGATAATTTACTATTATTTTGGGTCATGATTATTTTATAACTTATATAACTTAATTTTTAAGATTTTATTAAATTATAAGGAGTTGAATAGCATTAATTTAACCGGGGACATTTTTGTTCTTGAACCATAATTACTTTTTTTTAGATCCAACAAACTGCTGGGAGGCAATCATCAGCACACCAATCATAACAACCCCTCTCTGCTTTTTTTCTCGCTTCAATTATTCACGAAAACTCTTCTTCTCCTCTTTCTATTCTTTTTGCTTCGGCTTTTTTATTCAACTCATTACCTCATTTATTATTAGCCTCATAACATTTTTGGCATTCTAGCATATCCAAGTCCATTTCCACCCAATCATCAGTTTCTTTATGACAAGATTGGCATTGTCTAAACATTTTCTTATGAAGCGATTTTTTCCGTTCTATTTCTCGGTAAAGTTCAATTTCAGTAAAATTTCGTAAAAATCATTCTCTTTCGTATTCATCCATCAAAATTATTGGCTCTTTTTTCTCCCCTAATTTTACTTTCTTTCTTTTGATTAATTCTTGTCAAAGTTCCTCATCGATCAGATTTTTTATGATATATTCTTTCTCTTGTTGAGTTCACCGTTTAATATCCTCAATTTTTTTAGCAGTTAGCATGTCGTCAGTATCCTCGTAGTCTTTTATCTCCTCAATCATATCTCAAGCATTCTGAATAACTTGTTCTCAATGCAGTCTTTGTTTTTGAGCAAAGGAAAGTTTTTTTTCTTTGCCTTGATGAGTGCCTTTACTAATTTTGCCATCGCTACCTCTTCAACCTCGGCTCCCATCACTATAACAGTCACAGCAACCTCACGGGCAATCCATTGCTTTGCAACCTAAACATCCTGAGCAAAAACTATAACCATTATTGCTATTAGAAGCAAACATTTGGCAATAACAACCCTCGCATTCTTTCATTTCTATTCCACTATCATCCATTGGAGGAGGATTGTTTTTTATTCATTCACGATATTTTTCTCGCTTTTTGTCTAATTCATCATGACAAGGACTTTTTGGTTCTCTTATTTTTTTTAGCCCATCCGTTTTTGTCTTTCTATCCATAATAATTATTTTTACTAACGCGAAAGAAAACTATTAAAACCTCCGTAATCCTTGTTTTGTACGAAATAAATATGCTGGTTGCGATAAGTTTAAATAATCAATTAGTATTATAATAATATTAAAATATAGTATTATGGAAATTAAAGAAAATAATTCTCTAAAAGAGGAAAGCAAACAAGTTTTAAGTGTCAAAATTAACACCCAACTTTATCAACAATTAAAGACCCAAATTGGCAAAGGAAAAATCAG